TTACAATTTCGGTCAGAGGTTTAAAATTAGCTTTGATCAAATACGTAAAACACCAAAAAATTTAGATAAGTTTTTGAATCCGTTATTTTTTTTACTTGTTTGTTTTTTTCGGATATAGAAAAATTGAATCCACAAGCATATTAGGATTAGTTTTGGTTTATATATCAATTTTCCATTGGTTTATCCAGATTGAACACTTAAAATCCAAGTATGTATAACCCAATTCAAGTTTCTTTACCATCCAAACATAGAATTGATTCCAATTCGATTTGCAGATTTCTCGACAAAGCAGCGGTTATGGAGGACCGAAACGAGAATACTAAAGTCGAGAAGCAGAGTCCATGGAGACTCGCAACGGTTACAAAAGTGGAAGAAGTTAAGCTACTCATCAACATGATTCCAATCTGGTTCTTTACATTAGCCTTTGGAGTATGCGCCACTCAAAGTGCAACACTGTTCATCAAACAAGCCATAATAATGGACCGACACATCATCGGGACAAGCTTCATAGTTCCTCCAGCTTCATTGTTTTCTCTCGTGGCTATCTCCATAATCATCACCGTAACAATCTACGATAAACTCCTCGTGCCTCTTTTGAGACGCGCCACAGGAAACGAAAGAGGAATTAGCATTCTACAAAGAATCGGGACCGGTATGTTTTTCTCCTTAATCGCCATGATCATTGCTGCTCTAGTTGAGAAAAAGAGATTGGATTATACTACGGAACATCACATGAGTAAGACCATGACCTTGAGTGCTACATGGTTAGCTCCTCAATTCTTAGTCTTAGGAATTGCGGACGCTTTTACTCTTGTGGGTCTTCAAGAATATTTCTACGACCAAGTCCCAGATTCAATGAGAAGCTTAGGCATAGCGTTTTACCTCAGCGTGCTTGGAGCGGCTAGCTTTATCAACAATCTTTTGATAACGGTTAGTGATCATCTATCCGAAGAAATTTCCGGAGAGGGCTGGTTCGGGAAAGACCTTAACAGCAGCCGCTTGGACTGCTTTTACTGGCTGCTAGCCGCTTTGACAGCTGCAAATATGTGCTTCTTTGTGATCGTGGCCATGAGATACACTTACAAGAGATTGCAGCCAAGTCTGGCTGCTCTTGCTGACGGCGGTGATGACTAATAACACGTTCAACTTTACGTAACTTCTTTTTTCTTGAATTATATGTTAAATTAATTCAAGAAAAACGGTTTTTACATCATATGTTTCTGATTTTTATTGTCCAAAAAAAAGAGTAAAACAGTTTACACTTCCTCACAAAGAGATCGTAAACTTTACGTAACTTCGCTATTGGTTAGATCATATTATAATCATGAGTAATTTGCTAAAAAGTCACAAGAACTACTTTCACATTACAAAAATATCACAAATGAGTTTTTCTAACAAAAATGTCACATACCTTAGATTTCGGACGAAAATACCCTTAGCGTGGGTTGGGCTGAGCATTAAATGAATTCTAACATTTCTGATAAGAGTCTTCGAGAGTGATTAAAAGGTGAGAAGAGATGTTTATCTACCACAATTAATGAGGGATAAAGGTACATGTACACATACACTAATAGAAAATGTAATGAATTTTTAAGAATATATTTGGTAAAGGTATCTATAGTTGGTAATATTTAATGAGTGAAAGAAAAGTGAAGATTATACGGAGAAAAATAGAAGTGAAGATTAGTAAGAAAGAAAGAAGAAGCCATTGAGAGAGAAGGTGTGTTCTTGAGTGAATCATATTTAGAACATAACATTTGTATGAGAGTGAACCACTTTTATTCCTGGTAAGTCTACGAATGATTTGTACAAAGAATTTATTCACGTGGGAACAAACAAAACATACGTTTAAATGAAGGAACCTTCTCATTTATTGTAACTAAGTTTACTAATTTATTCCTATTTCACTTGTGAATTTATTGCAGGGTTGTGGAATTGCCAATATTTGTTGTTGCATGAGTTTATAATTGTTCAGAGACAGGTGTCCGAGATTTTGTGATAGACAAAAAAAAATGGTCATGTGTGTACGTATGAATGATGATATCGCGTATATAGAATTGATGAAAATGGTAATTTGTAAAACTTTAGATATTTAATTTTTTAAACCTTCTATACTCGAATCTTATATTAAGCTTATTTTAAAAAACTGTGCAGGTAAAGAGGAAGAAGAAACTGGTGCCAAATAAATGTAGCAGATGCATAATAATGGTAGGACATACATTTGGTGATTGAATGTACAATTGGTCTTTCTAGTGTACGATGTAAGATTGAATGTACGTACTAGTAATGATTTAAGGAGTTGAAGAACACATCATCGTGATATGTTGGGTCATAGTATTTTGCTATCGATTTATGTTGGTAAGATACATCAATATATGTTTCTAATATGGGAAAACATTCAAGTACTTGATATACGTAGTAGACAATGTACGTACGATCTATACTCGAAAATACGTACATGTGGACCTAGTAATATATAGAGAGATAGACCTTGTATGTACATCGATATGAAAATTAAGTTACATTAAACATAC